TCCGAGACGCCACAGAGGCTGAGGATGAGGGCGCAGATGATTCCCGTCCTGTCCTTGCCGGCGGTACAGTGGATGAGCAGCGGGGTGGGCGGTTCGGCGGAGGCGAGGTGGGAGAGGATGGTGTGGAAGGGGTCGTTGGGGTGGTCTGCCTCCGAGGCGGCGCGGAGGATGTCGGTATAGGCCTTTGTGAAGCCCTACGGAAAATGATGTTTTAGAATCTCACACATGATCTCACCAAGATGGTGAGCCATACCCCTCTGGTGGTCACCGGGACAAGTAGGAATGGTGAGAGAGAGGAGGGGCTGGCAGAAGGAAGAAACTCACCTCGGGCCCGTTACTAGAGTAATTACGGTACCGCAAGGCAATAGCTTCGGGGCCGTAGTCCATATCTCGAAAGACGGGGACAAAGATGCGGGTGGCGCCGGGCCACTCGCGGACGTCGCAGCTGGTGCCGGCCTTTGCGAGGCGCTCGAGCTCAATGGCGGAGCGGAGGTCGTAGACGCGGGTGATGTTGAGGTTCTGGAGGCGAGCGACGCCGTCCTCGGTGAGGCGGGAGGGCTCGGCGGAGCGGAAGAGGATGCCGGGCTTGACGATACGGCCGGCCGGGAGGGCGTCGACGGGGTAGCCGCCGGCGTCGCGGAAGTTGGGGAGGCCTGGGATCTGGTGGAAGGGGGGCGTGGGGAGGTCGACTTTGGGGCGTGGTTCCGTCATTGCGTTGGGTTGTCTCTTTTCCTGTGCTCTTGTATGCTTGTCTCGTGCTGCTGTCCGATTTAGAGAGTGGGCTAAGGGGTCAATGTTTGCGCTGTGGAACGAATGAGATGAACAACAAGGTCGTGGACGGGATCTGGTTTATGGTAGTGTGTACGGAGTAATCGCAGTCTGTAGATGGGTGCACCGCGGCAATGGGCATCGTCGGATGTGGCCTCTGCGGGGGAGGATTGCGGCATCCGAGGCATGTCGTTGGGTAGGCTCGGACCTGCCCACCTTTGGGCCAACATGCGCGCGCCTTTGGGCGTGAGTGGAAAGCAGCATCAAGTCAAGGTCAACTAATCCAGGTTGCTTCTCTCACCGAGAACTGACTAACAATTCTGCTCTTCTCCCGCATGAGGAAGTGGATATGTGGCGAGGAGAAGCAAGAGCAACACGTGTAAGAGGCCAGAAAATGGCTTCTAGAGGTTATAGACATCGGGATTGTTTTTCTAGTACACTGTCCGAGGTGCAGAATGGGCCGCCTATGTGTACCGAGCATATTGATTTACCTTGGTAGGAACCCAGCGCTCCGGTTCATCCAATCTTGCGGCCAGTCTTCATCGGCAGCTCAGAAACATGGCCAGTCAGCAACAAAAGTAACATGAGAGATCGAGCACCAATGTCATCATTAGGCAGGTGCCGTCCGAGGTTTGTTTCCAACACTGCCAGATTCGGGCCGTCGACGAGCAACGACAGCGGGAAGGGAATACCTAGGTAGAAAGTGCTCAAAACATCAGAATCTAAGTCGAATCTGGGTCATGTCACATCGTCCGAGGGCCCAGTCGGCTAGTGTCATACGTAGTAGAAGCGCCGTGCTACCGCGACCAGGTGACTGGCTGGCCCGAGCCGGGGCAGCTGAAGTGAGACTGGTAATTTGCTCAGGTGCTGCTGATGATGCCTACCTTATCTTACTGCATAAGGTAGTCAACTTATCGTGTTACTGAGTTTGAGTTTGAGTTCCTCCTTCTTGGAAGAGGTACTCCGTAGAGATACTCCGTAGAGATACTCCGTAGAAGTACTCCGTAGAGGTATTCCACCCCGTACCTGACAGGTCTGACGTCCTCGATGCACCTTCCCCTGATGCAAGCCCGCAGAGCAAACATGCAGATTTCCCAAGCCGCAGCAGCAATTCTAACTGGTACCTGCCCTTCAATAAGGTAGCTCCCTGAGCCAGCTGCCAGTGAGCCCTCACGGCCCTCAGCTCAACCACGAGCGAAAAGCGGACCGGGAACCTGTCAGGGCTAAGAGGACGGAAACATCCAATGACAGCAATGACAGCACCCCCCTTGTGCCCCTGCACCAAAGCTACGCGAACCTCCCCCCTAGGCGAGTAGTCGCGTTTCTGACTGGCTTGTCGTCCGCGCTAAAGGCTTCGTGCTGCGTCATAGGGGACCAACTCACATTTTCCCGGATTTTCTTGACCTCTTTTTTTCCTACCAAGAAGTCAGAACGGAGCTGGCAGTTGGAGGGAATCCGACCGGTTTGAGACAAGCAAGATGGCGATCAACCTGTTTGTGTCTTTCCCACCCTAGCGCGCCCTCCTCGTGGTGTGATTAGAACCAACTGGCGCTGCTACCCTTCTATCTGACCCTACCTTACCTTGCAGCTTGCTTGACCTTAGGTTGGTGTCATCATTACCTTCCAAGGTTCACTACCGCCTGCTCCCGTAAAGTAGAAGGGAAAAAAACTTCGTTCGCAGCCTTAATTTGAATAAGACCGCCCTCCCCTCCAACCTACCCCGTCGAATCCAACCACTCTTCCTTCCATCCTCTACTCGCCGTCTCCGCCGTCAACACGCTAGCTAAACCACGATTCCCCCAATCTACGCGGTCAGCCACCGATATACCGTAGTTTCAAGATGGGCCTCTTCGGCATGGCAGCGAGTTACCTCGCCTTCTCCGTCCTCCACTTCTTCCAGTTCGTCCTGGCCGTCACCGTATGCGGCCTCTACGCCGTCGACCTCAACCGCGCTAGAAGTGAAGGGAGCTACACCGACGGGAAATGGGTGAGAAATTTTCCATGCCTCGAAAACCACGAGTCACATGAAAGAAATGGAGGACTAATAACACCCCAAAAACAGGTCTTTGCTGTCGTGGTCGGCGCCCTCTCCGCCGTAACGGCCCTGCTCTACTTCGTCCCCTTCATCCTGCGCTTCGCCATCGTCTGGATCTGGGATACCATCCTCTTCATCCTCTGGATCGCCCTGTTCGGCCTCTTTGGTAATGTACGTGCACCGAAATCAATTCCCTACACAAAACCTACTAGTATACTCTATCTCGTCGAAACTACTCTTGCTGACTTTTGACTTGCTAGATGTACATCAAGGAGAACGCAGAGGGCGACAGCGGCATTCAGCGCATGAAGAACGCCGTCTGGGTCGACTTGGCCAACGCCCTCCTCTGGCTCATCAGCGCCTTGGCGACCGCCGCCTACTGGTGGAGACACCGCGAGCGCCGCACCCGCTTCACTGGCCGTGGAAAGGTCTAAATACGATATTCCAACGTGAACCATGGTCTGGCTCATAGGTTGGGGGGGATAGAGTTCGTCTACTGAGTAGATGAGAGTGGGCAGTGTGCTGGTGTACACTTGCACGAGCGCAAACGAAGACATCTCCCACACCACTCGAGGTGAACGTTTCGGGGCCGGTGATGATGATGTTACGAGGCCGGTGTTTTTTGGAGTATTTTAATCCTGCCGCAAACACGATACCAAAACCCTGGCGAGGTTTATTTTGTATTCTTGCTTTCTTTATAATCCCAACCCTACGAGAGATCCTAGAGTCAGTCGCTGTCTTCGGATACTATAATGTCCGAATCTACCGTGATGTTATGTTGGAAACAACGATGAGGTTGTCGACTTACTTGCCTAGCAAAGACAGATGAGACTGTCACCATGTCCCCTGCAAGTATGTTCCAGACTTATTCACGTGAGATGCCAGGGAGATTATATAGGTGATTAGACAGGCGTTGAAAGCATCAAGTTCCGAATAGATTAGTAAAAAAAAAAACACGATCGTCAACCTTACGCCCGTCCGTCTACCTCAGCCGGGGCCGGCCGGTCCTGACCATGGGGACCGTGTGTCCCCCCTGAAAACCCTGACGACTGAATCGTACACGCCGCGCCGTCGTCGGCGCCGGCGTAGCTGTCCCTGCCGGAGGTGAGCGGCCCCGTGTTTCTGCCTTTCTTAGAGTTTCGGGCCTCCCTACAGGATCGTCTGTCTACAAGGGGCAGTATACACACAAGCATGCTGCGCCTCAAGTCTCTTTCATCCATCCCATCGTGGACGGCCCCAGAAACCCTCAGGGAACCCTTGAGCCGAGTGCTGTACCGTGCGGTGGGTGCATGAAAACGCTCTCTCCATCTAGCAATGCACAGCCCGGAGGTGTTCCTCCTGAATCTAGCGTACTAGAGCCGTTCTACCGCTCCTTGGACGAGATGGATACAGTTGACTGCGTGACTGCCAGGCACGCCAGGCCCGGCGCCTCAAAAGTCCTACATAGGAAAAGCAAGGGGTCCAGGGGTCATGTTTTTCAACCCCGCAGACACTAAGCAAAGTCGTGTCTCCGCTGCGCTGTGACGTAGTGTCTGTGGCGACCCTGACAGTCCGCTCGTCGCTGGTTATCTCTACAAGATATCGGCGAGGGTGGCGCGCTTCAGAAAAATTCGGCCAAACATTCTTGAACAGGCCCAATGCGCCTGAGAGGCCCTCGCGTCATGACACTTCAGCGACTGGGGATTTAGGCCGCAAATACCAGAGGAATGAGTCCGTGTCGAAAATCAAGAGATCGTTTGTTGGTGGACGTAATTGAGGCTTGACCCTTATCCCACCTTCGGAGAGCCGCAAACGGGATGTAAGCGACGGAAGACCCGGGGGGGGGGGGTCGGTGCGCTTTGACGTCCTCTGCTGTAAACTCAGAGCGAACGACGACAGTGAAGGCGGCAGTCGACAAAGTGAGACCTTCAGTGTCGACCAAAGCCGGGAGACCCAGGGCATAGGAGTGAGCCGGCAGCACTCGCCGTTTCGCGGTGCCTAGCATCCGCTGTATCCTTTTCACGCTTCCAACCTTGGGCAAAAATCGACCCATTAAAAGCATCTGCGGCCCTGCGGCTGTTGAAACCTGAGGAGACGGAAGCGATCGGCGGCAAGATCAGCACAATTATTGCTGCTTCCGATTCAAAGCCTCAAAGGTCAAGCCCAGGACATGCATTGGGTAATTGGATCATGGTCCTTGGATGAATCAAGTGGGCATCCCAAGACCCTCTCAACCACTGCCTCTGGTTCTCATCTAGCGTTATGTACACTAACACGACGGTGTCCGCTCCCTGTCTCTCGCAACGTGGGCCCCGCCCGTGGTAACAGCGGGACAGAGTGAAAGTCATAAACGCCCGACGATGCGGAGGTTTCATCGGCTAGGACCGAAAGCCTGAAGGCGGAGGGGGTCGTATGGATACTAAGACCGTAGCAGAGACGGTGCCGTCCACATGCTGCGGCAAGTGGTGGAGAGAGTATGAGGGGTAAAAGAGACAACGGCTGAACAACAACTCTGGACAAAGGTCGGTTTCTTTCCCGCATGCTCCGGCTAGCCAGTGCGGAAGTGTTGAACCGAACGTCGAATGTCTCTCCGTCCGGCATGGGTCGGCGCCAGCGGTGCCTCAAGTGGCTCAGTCGAATCCTTTCCAATGGAGCTGCTAGGCTGGAGAAGTACTTTTGATCGCTTTTCAGATACCGCAAGTAGCTAAAGAGAGGTGGCAGATGGGAACGGTCTGCATCAGCAGCCACTATTACATACAGCCCAACGGGAGAATAGTCTATACATGCGTGAAATTGCCACTCGGCCGCTCGCGCAGCCACAGGCTCTAAGCCGTGGGTATCGAGGTTGATAAGAGCGACCTTCTTTCGCGTGTGTCCGAGGGCTCATGCGACTGGACGTCCAAGTGGCCTTGACGTGGTTCTCTTCAGGCTTAGAAGCCCGGCGATGATCGACATGAAAGATCGACGGCAGCAGTTCCGTACTAGCTGAACGATTTGGCTCTTGATGTAAGTCAAGATAGTGTAGGCTAAGCGGTGACCATGGCCAACCTCAATTTGACGGCTAGGCTGGATCCGACTTCGAAGTCTGGGTAGAAGAACAGAGGGCCAACTCACACTTGCGCAACTACGTTACGCAGTAGGATCGTCAAATCGCAGTGTATTCGGAATAAGGGAGCTACCACGTGAATATTGTCATGGGAGGGGCTCTCCAGCATTCGCATCGTAGCTGCCAAGCAGATGTACAATTCCGCACGGAAACTGCAATGGGCAACTCAAAGATAGTCACGTACTTTACTGCGTAAGTCAAAGGAAGGCGAGAGGTGACTCTGCCAAGACACCTTGCGGAAAGACAGTGCCTGCCCGGTCGTGGAGTAGAGAACCGAAGAGGATGTTTGTCTACCTAGATACCGTATGGACGCTCGAATTGACAATGTACCGTACGCAGATGGAATACCCGGATGCTAGTCAAACTAAACGATGAGATGATTTATAAATACAAACTGAACAACATTGATTATGATGCTTAGCTGACTGGATACTAGAATTACAAAAATTTCACTCATTCCATAATACTCCAGACACCTGAGTATCATCCCTCCCACCTTCCAAAGCTTTATCAAGGTACGTATTCGTTTACGGCACTCGGGTCGGACGGTTTTGGACCCCTCCAATACGGTCACCTCAACGGCTAAGACAAGATAAGGTACCTGGATCAATGGAACGGCCAACCTAACAGTCAACGGCCCTTATTAACCCAATGGAAGCTAGCAGCAGAAGACCCTCGAAACCGTCCCCCCTTGCCTCCCTCATTCCGTTTGGTCGGCCTCCGCATCTCGCACCATCCCACCAAAACCCACCCACCATTACGGATGGATACCTTCTGAGATGTGAGGTACTCCGTCACTCCGTAAACCCAGCAAGACCCAGACACCAACACCCTTCCACGCGCCTTCTTCGTTGATCCTTCGATGCCATCCATTGCTCTTGACCCTTTGCAGAAAGATCATCTCTTTTGTGCTCAAACACAGAGGACCCTGCAGTCTGCCCAACACGAGTCCCAGCCGGTTTCTGAACGAAAGCCGAGCCCTGATGAATAAACGCCTCCAAAGGAGCGAAGCATTACTTTTATCTTCCACTCCAAAAATAGCGGCTGCCTTTAAATCCGTTACTATCCTTCTTTCATCAACTACAACGCTGCAACTACTGCGCCGACCGATCTTGGCCACGTCTACACAAAACAACTCATAGCCAGCAACAGCGACTGCACTTTATCACGGCCGGGGGCAAAGAATACGCCAGAGGCACAACTCCAAGCACATCTCAGCCATTCATTCCGCAATTGCAAGAGGGCCCCTGTTAGGTCGCAATCCCATCACCTGCAACACGGAGGGAGGGGACGAAAAAGCGACTACTGTCTCCCTCACCGCACACGCATGCCCTTGCTCCTACATGATATCCACCTCCACACAGGCCTCACATATCCACCAAATTACCCGCTTTCTCTGGTCTGATCCTGCGCCCGTCTGGCGACGTGCAGTTAAAGAGAGAGCCTTGGAAGCCCAAACGCCCGCCGGCACAGAATTTAAACCGAGTGAGGCTGGCCAAGACAACGAACGCACGTACATCCCATTCTAGACGAAGAACGAAGACAAGGACGCCGGCACCCGCACAAGAGCCTCAAACTCATCTAGTCAAGCTTCCATTTTCCTTTCCAACTTTGCTCATAAGCACTATCTGCGGCAAGCACCTTGCACGACAAGGGGTACGGTACGGCACGGTATATGGCATGAACAATTACCTCCACAGACACCAAATATCATCAGGAATCTTAAAGGAGGAATCAACCATGGCGAGTTTGGGTCGGTCGTTCAAACCACCAGCGTACCTGCGAGCGCGATCCCGCCCTGCAATGACTGGAAGAACCTTGTCCAACTCTTCAGATATTTCGGTCGTCTCGACAGGATCTCGCTCCGACGCCGACGACCTGCTCATGTCCGGGCTCAATACGCCAGCGTACGAAAAGCCAAAGTCAGGCCAGGATGGGTTCAACACGTCAACGGCCCCCGAGTTGTGCTCTCCCAAAGGTATGTTTCAGCTGTTTATTATAGGTCGGGCCGTTGTTCTATGCTATCTACATGTTTACTGGTTTCCCACTTTTGATTTATCTCCAACTTCAGCTTTGGATCTTTTCTCCGCCTATTCCATGCGTTTTCAGTTCACCATTGCAGGCTTACCCCCAGGTGTCTCCTGTTTTTCTGCCCTTTGGTTGTTGCACTCGGGGCTGTGGGTTGTTCTGTTTCTGTGTCGTTAATTTCGGTCGAGCATTCAGTCACTATTTTCTGTCATGCGTTCCGGTACCTGCACCCGGCCGTCAATGCCCCCCGTGGACCGCAACGTCGGCACCGACAAGGACGGACGTTGGCGCCCATTGCCCAATGCTTCAGTGAGCCTGTTTACTACTGAGGTCCCTAGACTTGTGGCAGCGAGTCAGGAAGGCTAGTTGGCTAAGGTCAAATGACGACGGCGCAGTGCACCCGTGGTACCATGGCTCGCAGTTGGTCTTGAGGGCAAATTTGTCTTGGATTTCCTCACGTTCTGCTGCCCTTGGAGTTACAATAACTGCCGAGATGAGCGCAAGCCCCTCTGTTCATTGAACCAGAAAGACACGGCCGGGGAATGCAGCCTACAGTCTGAGCCAGTCAAGAGGAGAGCCGGAAAAGAGGAGAAATGTCCTCCCCGATGAGCAGGCGGGATGGACTCCGATGAGCAGTGAGTGGCCAATGCCCCTCATCAGTTACCTCAATTCAACGCAGTAGCGAGTCAACGACTTGTCGATGACCACTGTTGTGTCAAGGTACTCTCCTGATGGTTGCGTGTGCAAGTGCTTGCGTACTGTGAGGATGAGTGAGGATGAGGTCCTGGTAGTGCTTACCTTGTGTTCATTCGCTCGCTCCAGCATGACCAGAGACGGATCACGACCTCACACCAAAGCCCTGAGGACTATGGCATTGTGTGCAAAAAGGCCCAAGGCCTTCCATGCCTGACGTTTCCATAGCTTTGGGCTGTGCCGCTGGAATCAGGTGGTGTCTTGGGGGGCATTAGGGAGTGGGGATGGCGCGCCACCGCGTTGTCTTCTGGACGCACCAAACGCTCCGTCGGTGTCAGCATGAGGCCCCTTCACTGCGTTCGGTCTGGTCCGCGCCCCTTGGAGGGTGAGGAGCGGAACTGACGCGGTGAAGTAATGGGGATGCGATGCTTCCATCCAGGCTGAGGTGGTGGGGAGGGGCCGGAGGGGCTGGGACGCTGGGTTGCTGTTTAGAGACTGGTCTGCTAAGCGGCGGCCTTGGTTCACTCGGCCGGGACGGACCCTGCCCGCCAGATGGCACAACATCGTCATCATTCACTCTCATTTCTGCTATCGACGGGGTCACCCCCGGCCCTAAGCCCTTTTTCTCACCTCTCCCAGAAAGTTCGTTCCCGTCTCGCATGGCCACCAGGGACCCTTACCGTTGCGTCATGCCCATAGTGTATTTTCCTTCCTCTTACGCAGTTATTTTTTTCTTTTTGGCCCAAGACGCTTAATCGGAATTTCACACATCCATGTTCCTTGCTTAGGTTCTCGAGAGGATACCTTCGAGACTAATCTGCCTTTTGGCTCTTCTTAATAGGCGAATCATCCGCACCATGTCTTCTCGACCTATCTTCTCTTCAATCTGCACGATACAATCGAACTCGCTCAATTCCTCTTGACCTGTCTCCTACGACTAGTACTCTTCGAAAAATAAACTCGGCTCCTGCCTGCACGCCCACACCTCCCGATCCTTTGTCAGCCCGTAGCGATCTCCCTGGGTGAGTCCTAGTTTTCCTTCCCGCCGCCACTTCAACGTCCTTCTCGAATAAGCCAAACTTAACTCTCTATTCTTCCACCCAACTATCTCTTGAAATCACTTCATTTTAGCAGTGAAACATACAGTGCCTTGTGCTAACACTGAACTCACAGTGGTTACTTTTCGTTCCACGAAGATCCCAAGGGTTCTACCTCTCGCCCTCAATCAACCAAAACCGAAGGCCGACTGCCTAGACACAAGGCTGCTTCTCTCACTGTCGACTCCTCCTTTCAAGCCGACCTCCGTGGCGCTCCCCGATCTGTAGCCATGGCGCCATCAATCCACCTCTCTCCTATGATTGCTGCCGACCCTTCAGGTTCATCCACCGTCAACACACCCGTTACCTCGTACCTTCCCAGCGGCGTTCACGATACATCCTTGCCAATGGGCAAGTACTATCCTTCGAACTACGAGCGAAACAGTAGTCAAGACGGCCGCATAGGGCCTTCTGGGCCCCCAAGCCGTGTATCGTCAACAAGATCAGAAGGCCACATCCCCACACGTGACGCCTTCAGGTCATCTTCACGACAAGACTCCGAGGTCCGTCGCAAACTACAACAATACCAACGAGACATGATCGCCCAGGCGAGACTGGCGGCGAGCGAAGTGCTTGGAAGTTCGCCCAGTCAAGTTACCGCGGCGGTTCCCAGCTCCACTATTACCTTGAATGGGGTACCCTTGACGAGCCTACACCATATCGGAAGCACCGGCATCCACAAACCCATCTCACCGAGGCTTTTGCCACTGGGAAGCCCGGGACCCGTGACGCCGATGGATCTGGAAGGAGGATTAGGGCAGAGTGGATACCTCGATCGGGGTCGCAATGATGAGATTGCCCGCGTGTTGCGGGCCGAGGAAGACCGTATCCGCCGGGAGGGAGCAACTTCACCGGCGGTGGAAGCGGGTCCGCAAGTTTTCTAAAGTGGCAAAACTTGATGCCTTGCGTTGGCGTCGGAGACGGTGGCGTGGTTCATCTGGAGCCACATCATCTCAGTATGACGACGGCGGAAGGCAAAGGAGAGAAAGACACGCAAATGAAAAAAAAGACAAAGGGAATGGAGTCGGCAAGGTCGAGACGATCGTTCATGGTTATGATACCCTCTGGTTATTACAGCAAAGCTTGATTTTTTATTATTTAAGGATGGGGGGGGGAAAGTACGGTTTGATTTCGCTGGCGGACGACGTATCTGCAGCTGAGCCAGCCATCTGTAATGCATGCATGGACTGCGGCGTTATCTCTACACTCGTTACGGAATTAGATTCGTGCGGGTTATCTTCGCATTGGTGTTATTTCTTTGGCTCCTCCTCTGCTCCCCCTTCGTTCAAGACTACCTAGACAAAGAGGGCGGCGGATAGACTAGATGAGGAGGAGAGGCAAAACTAACAAGATATTACTTGCACCATGACTTCACCTTTGCAGAGAAACGTCATGAATGCTTCGCCAATGTGTCTGAACAATTAGATTCATCCAAAACATGTGAAGAGCACGAGTACATCCTCGCACATCAAGCAGCTTTACAGTAGTTGGCAGGAAAACTGCCCCGTACGCCACCTAATTCGCCTACCCACCAATCCTGATCTGTGTCTGTCTTTTTTACGATTTTAATCATGTCTCCCTCATTGAAGCTCAGATCTCCGTCACCCCCTGCGAAGTCATACTGGGCGACGACAAATTCTTCCGGCGCTTTGAAGCGCTTGGCCGGCGGCGGCGGTGGTGGTTTCTTCTTCCCTGCCAGACTTCCCTGCCCCGAGATAAGCCCCGACTGGTGACCAAAATATTCGGATTGGGTACGTGAGTAGGACGGCGACACGTTAGGGGAACCCTGGGTCTGCCCAAGAGACGTGGCGGTAGTGAAGTCGGTTGGCAATCCGAGCTGAGACCGCGAGACATTCGTGCTACTTGGCTGCGGGCTAGGTTGTGGGGAGGGCTCCCGAGCCATAGATGGACGGCTGCCTCCGTTGTTTGAAGGAATTCGCATGGTCCGGGGGGTCGGTGTTGCGCCCTCGTTCATGCCTGAAGGCGTTCGACCCAAGCCGTTCCGTGACGAGGTTGATGACTTACGGCCCTGGCCATCGTCCCCTAACCTTACTGGTTGCCTCCAGTTCTTGCCATGCGCTATGCAGCTGATAGCCTCTACCTCCTTTTGTATCGGTACAAAAGATGCTGCCCAGGTTGATATTACGCTATCCATTGGGGGCGGAGGAGAAGGGAAGTCGTGATCTTCGCAGTAGTTGTGAAGTACGGTGTAATACAGCCCGAGAAGTCTGTTTTGAATCGTCACATGAGAGGCCAGAATATGTGGAATCAATGTAAAGATGGCCTCAATGATCGGAGGCAGAGCCTCCCTGATGTGACCGTCGGCAACGTGGAACTCCTACGGCCACGATTCGTCAAACTCAAGAACGCAAATATGGTTGATGAAGCACTTACCTCAGATGCGCAAGTCATTTCGAACTCAGCCTTGGACAGGGCAGCATCTTCCTTGGGCGTCTTGCCGGGCTTCTTCTGGAGCTTCTTGACCTTTTCCTGGGCCTTCTCATAGTCCAACCTCTTGTTCTCTCGTTGCTTGATAGTCTTACGAAGGGGCTGAATGTACTCATGGGCCTCGGTGGCCGGCCCAATGACCTGTTTATCGATGGCCGTCACTTCTTCAGTCAGTTCGTCCTTGAGGTCAGAGTAGGCGCCGCTAAGCTTGAAGGTGCGATCGAGCTGCAGCTGAGGAGTCGTGACACTGGGGCGGCCATGTCCCTCCGAGGCACCAACAATTGGGTCGTACAAGCCCTCGTACTCCTTTACCATAGCCCACTGGCTAGTGGCCATAGTTACCCATGCTTCACGGAGAGTCTTGGTATTCTCGATAATCTGGCACCACGAGACACATAAGTCAAGATTACATCACACACATGCAAAGACCTCGTCAGGTTGAGGGTTGTGAGAGAAGGGTACCTTGACTAGCAATTTGTCTGCATCTTCGTAGTCGTGTAAGACGGCAGCAATTTTGGCATTGTCTCCGGGGCCCTTGTTCATGAGCTTGCCGAATTGTCTCTGCATGGACTGCATCTTGAAGTTGAGCAGCTCGCAGGCAGCGACGATTCCGATCTCGGGTACGAGTAACAGTGCAGTGCTACACTCGGCGAGGCGCAAGTGGAGCAAACGACGGACGAATCTTTCCGCTTTTCCACCTTAGACCAAATGACGAAGTATGGCGACGAGGGATTGGCCGTGACCTATTGACGGTTTTTGGTAAACAGTTTTTGGTAAGGTTATGTCGCAGTACTGGTCGCGATATGGAGGAGGGATTGGATTGTTGGGAGGAGTAGAGCAGGAGAGCAGCGGTGGGTAGAAGAGTAGTAACGGCTCAAGCTTGCCGACAAGCCGTGTTCTCGGGATGCTCCTGCCTAGCTACCGTTACGAGGTTGGTAGGACTCCTAGGTAGGTAGATACTCGGGTGAAGAGCATCGAATAAGGCTGTGCCTAGCCACCTAGTGTGGTTAGCTGAGGTAGCGGTTGCGTGAAGGCGGGATGTGGAGGAGGGTTACCTTTGGACGGGGGACTGGCTAGACCTGACGCTGGATGGGAGGGCGTAGAAGCGGAGAAAGTTACGAACGAATACTCAGTACGAGGAAGGAATAGTTTTTTAGCACTTCAAGGAGGGGAATCGAGCAATTTGGGGGACGGTATTAATTACGACGCCAATCTTTTTTGGCACAAACGGGCAGCCCAGCCAACTGGGTCAGCATCAGTGCCCAGGATACGCAAGACGAAGCTTGGCCATTGTGGAGTGGACAGATATCATGCTTTTATTCGTGTCGATGGATTCTCTACCTCAACCATGTGTCATTGCCGGGCACTCACTCAGTACGAATACAGCTCCCACTGTTACCTTGCCTCACCCCAGGGTATTCAGGTATCTTTTGATCCAGTATCGTGTCGCTGTCCGGGGACTGAAACAAGGAACAACACCTAAGACATGGCACAGCAGCCCCAAACCGAACAACATCGAGTCACTACCAATCGGTTGGAGTTGGCTGAGAATGGTTGTAGCGTGTCGTGCCGCGATTGCCTTGGACGAGACCGGGAGAATCCCGTCTTTCTGATCAAATGGATGAACCCATAGGCAGAGATGGCCTGGCCTTTGGCCAACGCAACGCAAACCCTGGCGGCCATGATGAATCCATGGTGCGAACCAGCAGGCAACCAAGCCCCCCAGGCGGTGAGACTTGAGTCCTTCGAAGTTGGTAACTTGGTCGTGACCCTATGGCGGCTAAAGTACAGCGAAGTACTAAAGCTATGATCGGCTGCCGGCACTGCTTCAGCCCACCCGGCTTCCACCACAAGGAGACAGCCAGGGCCTAGTCTCAGTCACCCTGCCCGCTTGGCGTTCAGACGGGACTTGAAGGTACCTGGTCTGCCCCGCCATGAATTGGAAGCTACCTCATCAAATACAAGGGCAAAGGTAAGTGGGTAGGTATCCGTCAGGCAAGGTACGAGTGCTTTAAGAGAGAGACGAAGAGGGGGCGTCGGCAGCCCATGATGAGGGGAAGAACACATGTGAATATTGGTGCCTTAACTTTCATCTTGGAGGATCGCAGGAGTCTGTCAGGTTAATTTCCCAGACCAGAGAGAGAAAGCTGGTCACGACGTGGAAAAATGCATTGCGCCGGTTCAACAGCCTAAGCTCTTCATTCAATGTTTACGCGTGCTGAACGCGTCGCTAGACAACTATTTCATACATTGAATGCATACCGAACCAGGAAGATCCCATGAGGCCCTAAAAACTGTAAGGGAAGCCGCGGGCACCTTCTGAACCTACCACACCCACTCCACTGGCGTCCCTGACAGACAGCATCACGTCAATTTCACGTAGGCCCTCTCTCAACTTACATTTGAAATTGACGTCCTGTTCACACCTTTATCACAATATGAACGGTGTGAGTGCATTGCGCACTTTTAGACCAGGAACATATCTCGAAGGTGCAGCCTCTTAGTCACCTCACCTTACCTGAGCAGCACATGCACTTAGAAGGAAGGAGGCAAAAAGAGAGCCAGGAAGGGGCTGGCCGGACCAACTGCACCGGAAATGTCAATCATGTGACTTGGCGTCTTACCTGCTCCTTTACACGCGCCAAATTTAGTCGCGTCTACCAGGCTTCACCTCTACCTTCGACATTGGGTAGGCACGGCATGCATACCGCTATCTAAACTTATCTTTACAACAAGCAGCATGCGGCTCGTTGCCTTCGGCCGCGGCTGTCGTCTTGATCAACATGCCTCTCGCCAGCCGTAACAGCAACCAGAACAGCCAGATGGGCTCCGGCCTCCCCATCGCCGCTCCAGTGTTGGAACACTTATGCCTCTTCACCCACGATCTGAAACGGAAACAGAAAAGATGGCAGGACGGTCGCCTGAAATTCCATACGTTCAACAAGCGCATTATGGTCTATGATGAAAGAGGAAATTTCATTGGTGATATGCACTGGCGGGAAGACTTTGACTTTGGTGAAGGCGAAGAATTCAACTTGGAGCGCGGGGCCGTCATAGTCCAAGTCGCCGAGTGTATCGGGAGCAAGGAACAAGACTTGACTGAGCTCCTCGACAAGAGGGCTAAGGAGGTTGAACAGCGACATGCTCGCTCTGCCGCAAACACAACAAACCAGCCTCATCCACCCACACGGCCATCAGTCCAGCACCCCCAAGCCCAATATCGGCAACGGCATTTGTCTGACGTCTTCACTACTCCTCGCGGACCACAGGGGAGGGCCGTGATCCCAACCACATCGCCATATGAAGATCGGGTGATGGCTCAGCAATCCTCGAGTCCCCAAGACGAGGTTCAAAGGCCTACCAAGAGGAGGAGAAGAGAGGTATCTCCGCCCAGCAAGTCAGGCTATGCCCAAAATCTGTTCGGCGCAACTCTCAATCTATCGTCTTGGTCGGCGAGCGCCCCGGTGCGAAGTCAGCCCGCACCGACACCAAGAAGCATTGCTCCCTCTGTGGAAGCACCATCTCGCTCAGTTATTCCAAGCAAAAGCATCAACTCCTCTAGGCCAAAGCCTTCTACAGTCGTTGATTTGACCAACGACGCCGCAGTACCAGCGAGAAATGTCACAGCCTCGATAACATGCGAGTCAGAGATTCCGGCCACAAGCAACACCAGTGTGGTAGCAAAAGAAGCCTTGCTAGGCCACAGGCCCTTTAAGAGACCAAGCACCAATGTCCGCAGAGACATATCAGTGGAAAGGGACATGGAAAACATCGAGAACCCTAGAGAGGTGCTGAGCCCTAGGAGTCGCCAATCTGAGAGTCGCTTCGAAGTCCAGAAGCAAACAAATCCAAGAAAAGGCAGCAGGAAGTCGCAAGACGGCATACAAAAAGCTTCTACTCACGGAATAGATGATCGGCCTGACAGGGGCGTCATCCCCGAACCTGCGCAACTTCGTGCTCCAGCAACGGCAAGGAGGGAGGCGCCAGGAATCTACGAGCATCTCCCGGAGAATGGAAGCACTTCATCAATACCAGCAGCGTCAGTGCCAGAAAGGACTTTGGTACTAGATGATGAGGCTGCAAACCCAGAAGAACCCAAGACCAAACTTCGCATCAAGACAAGAGAAAAACGCGGTCTGATGGTGGTCGCGAAGAAGGCCACCACGAAGACCAAAAGACGGCAACTGAGTCCAGCCGCAAACAGGCCAAACCCGTCAACGTCAGACGGACAGACCATAACGGACGTCACTCTCTCGGAACCTAGTCCTACAACAACGCCTGCTTTGCCTGACGAAAGCTCACTGGGGCATCCGACGCATGACAGCTACATAGAAGCCGTTCCGAAGGCCAATGCCAAGGCCGGTAAAGCGAAAGACCACAAACAACCTGACGAGGTGGCTAAGGGTTTGGCTCAACCTGAAATCTCCGACGATGAAGGACGTACATCAGCCGAACGCTCCTTGCAGCCAGCGCGGACACTAAGAACACGGAGAGCTCGACGTAGCCCGGACCGGGAAGACGACGTGGAACAGGTTCGCATCAATCCAGGCCCGCGATTGGCATCTCTCGGTCGAAGGACCGTGAAAAGTAAGGAAATTATCGGCTCGTTCAACACAAGACCGCCTCGTATAGCCCTCGGAACTTCGGCCGCGACTGCAGCGCCTCGGAGAGAAGCCCCGGCTACGACTGAAAGTCATTCTGAAGCCAATTCCTCGTTTTCCAAGACGTCGGATGGCGTTCGACAAGCAGAAGCCACAAGGCCTACCAAAACGACTCGGTTAGAGAACCCAGCAACGAGGGGCCGGAAAGCGGCACAGAAGTCAGATGCTATGGGCGCTGTTCCAGAGCCAGTCTTGCCGGCTAACCTGGACGCAGCTCTTGGTAGGAACCTCAGCGGAGCTAGCAGTAGATCAGAGGCAAGGACTGGAGCTGAAATCGGCATGGTGGCTAGTGAGCCCAAAAAGCAACTTCCCGGGTTTCAAAGGGCAAACGGGGGTCCATGGAGCAAAGAGGCTCACGATTTGATGGGATGCACACGGCCTGGGTGATGAGGCTACCAACAGAACAGGATGAGCCATTTCGACAAGCACCCAGATAGGCAAGTGAAATCACGAAGCTCGCTTATTGCAGACCTTTGAGACGCGGCTGTCATGTCGCACTCCTGGCAGACAGGCCTACAAGATCTCGCACGCGCCGCACGCTTGACCTACGAAAGTGAGGATATCTTCGGGACTTTGCCACTGCTAGCATTGTACTGTAGTATGAAGCCCCGCCGGTACTTAACGGTCGAAAGTCGAGTGCCTGGTTTGGATTGATCCAAGGCATAATAACACTACATTAAATGGACTGATGGGCCTACGGTTCTTGAGATCGAGCACATCGTACTCCACGCAACGTTAGTCCTGAGTCGCTACCCCCCTCTCCGGGTGGTAGCGAGGTGATGGACTTGCATCGGAGACTCCTGAGATGCGGGAACTGGCCGGATCGGAGCCGAGTAGGGGATTACTTCCAGCAGCTGAGATGAACGGCTGCGAGTACAATCAATCCAGTAGGTTGTAGATTGGGCAGAACCCTTTCAATAACGAATGGGAACCTCCATCCTTCGTCAACGGCGACCAAAGCCGCTCATCGACTTAATGATAACGTTCGTCCCCGCTGATGATTGATCTTGTGAGACTGAGTCTTGTTCAATGCATTTGTACGTAGTAATGCGTCGTTGAATCTACTCAAGCGGTGCCAGGCACCTACCTCTCCGGCCTTTTGGCATTGGAATGTGTGCTACATAGAGATCGGTTCTTTTACTAAACGTTGATAAAGCTAGCCCCGACTGACGGTCGATGCAGGGGGACTTGCCTCGGTGTGAGTGTGTTCGAGACGACTTGGTAGGCGGCGAGATCTCGGCTAGTTGACGCTATCACGACATGTTCATGCCCCCTTCGTATACGACACTATGAGCCCTGGCAGTTAAAGTAAATCATTTAATTGCCTTACCCGTGCAATGTTGTTGGTTCACCCACTAGAAACAAGATGCAAAAGCTCAGTCCCCCTCACGGGGGGGGCTACGAAAATCCCTGGAGACTCTTACCAGTCTCAGGTGTAGCGATGCAGGGATTTTTCACGAGACTCAAACTCGCGACCTGTGCAAGCGGGGCAATTCAGTCACGACGTTCCTCGCTACGTCACAGGCCTTGGTGATAGTTTGCTGTCCTTTTGTTCATCAAAGAGGTATCCGAAGCGGTGTCTTCCAGGTCGACTTACATCCCTGAGGCAGGTGGACGGGCAAGCTCCCAACCAGCTCACCGTCGATCCGTGGCTGGCATCTAGAGGTTAACCTTCTAGCGGTTTGAGCAAAAGGTTACAGCTTCCTAATTTTCCAACTCCGGGACCACGGTTACGATGAGGCTCGAGGCTTCCAAAAGGATTGGCCAAATTATATGCAATCAACAAAACCGCACATACCGGGATGACTAGGTATCAACCATGGTATAGAGTTCACTGCTGCGATTCTTTCGGGACGGAAAGCAAGAGCTTGATAAATCAGGATACAGACACGCTCAGCAACACATCCAGTCTCCCGCCGGCACTCTCCGTTTCCGTCCTTTGCCAGTTTTATTACAACGACCAAGCCAGACATACTACAGTTAGGGCAACACTGGAAAGTCGGTCAGTTCTAGAACTTGATTTGAAGAATACCGCGCGGAATATATCGAACTTGTGCATGGTCACTCGTCTGTTACGCCTCCCAGCTGTCGACCACCTTTGGCGAGTTTTGGACCGAAAGTTATTTGCTGTGCAATGAGTAGTAATAGTGACCTGCTGCGCAAAGTCAGGTGCCAGACGGATCACTTTTTGATAAGTATAGAGATTCAGTCACCAAGGTGTGCTGTGATTCCGGTTCAACAGGTCCTCATCCAAAGCCTTCGGCAAGATATGCGAGGGCGGCTTTACGACATTAATAGAATAACACACGGGACCAAAGTTCCACGTGATCGCTCCCATTTCGAGTGGCCAGCATGTGGGCGAGCTGCTAACCAAGTCTCGTCATATTATCCACTCGTCCGAGTTCTCTTCAGCGACGGTAGAAGGAGAAAGCAGTTCGAGACGAGTGAAGGGACTTATATGGAATAGGTTCCTTCTTACTTAAGTGCCTCGGTCGTCCCGAATTCACGAAATCGATCAACTGGTTTGGCTGGCACGAAGCTGGGTAGTGAACGACATTACAGACTACTGACCAGAAACGAATGTAGCGAAAGGATTCCTTCGAATCCGAAGGACCAGACTAGCGTCACAACAGCATGCCCATAACACAGCAAAAGTACCGTGCTTGGCCCATTTGCAGCTGACAGCCATTCTGTGTTCGTATTGTGCTAACTGGTAACACACCCCGGTTGCCTTGGACCAATTGGGCGAAGCCAGCCACACACTTGTCAGCAACCGGGCAGATTCCGCTCTTTGTGTGGTGGCATTGGCAAACCAGAGAGGTAGAAAGCCTCGAAAGGTGCCTTGGAAGCTTAACCCAGAGAGGTTCCGGCACGGAACGGAAGGCAAAATAAAGCTTGTGTACTCTGTACGGAGTACGTATGCTTGAGGTACCTTGATCTCCTTCTGTCTGGTGGTCCTAAGCCTCATGAACCCAGCGTAACTTAGCACTCTGGAGTATCGGGTTGGCTCTTTCCAGCTAAGGGATTCGTGGTATGTGGGGTTTACCGCGCACCCCCCCCCCCCGGCTTATAAGATCACGACAGGATCCATTGATATCCTGCCAACCTCCTCAGGTAAAGAGAGTATGTTGTGCTGCGTCCGGGGAACTTTGGCATCATCTGTATCCGTACGTCTTCCTCCCGGGGTAATCGTGCATGATACAGGTACGGGGTATGTATGGGATACCTTCAGGTACGTCAATGCTTGTGGCAGGAGCTTGGGAGAAAAGGTCAGTAAGACCTCAGACGGATTATGACTGATTGTCTAAAGCCTCAGGCGGCCGCCATTGGCTATGGGTTGACTCACTCAGATCACGTGACCTCGGATTGCACATCAACGACCAATGAGATACGAGTATACTCGCCGAAAACCCAGCGCCCGGCTCACTGGCTGTGGGGCATATGAACCAATTAGATTCACTCAAGTGGATCTCTCAACTCGTATCTGCATCTCTGATTGGTATAATCCCCAGACGCCGTCCGCATTACGCTAAACCGCTTTCATCTCGCCGACGAGCTCAATCAAAACCACCGGCTGCGCCTTGCTGGGGTACCGATGGACAGCCAGTTGTGGCCTCAGCAATGAAATACCATCCATGACTCCGGCCTGGCTCATCCGCTTCCCTTTCGAACTTCTCTTTTCAATTTTTCGATACTGAAAAGCCAAATACGTCGATTAGCAGACTCGAGTGAAGCTACTCCGAAGCTGGAGAACTTCCCTTGATCCGTCTCTTGTCCCGCAACTTTTCCCCCCAACAACACTCCATCAGCCAACTTAGGAGGAATCCAAGTTGCTGACAAACTGCCTACCTTTTGCAAGCTTCGTCTTCAGAGACAATCTTCCATCTAACCCCATCATCCGGTTTACATCAAATTCATATTGAAAATCGCCTCGAAAGAGAGCTTTCTATCAAGGTGAGCTTCAATCTCCATATGACTTGGTGTATCACAGCGATACCCAAGGCAGCATGTAGTTCCTCAGTGGGAGGTCTGGGGATTTAGACACTTCACCAGCACGATGTATTTTGTATCATTTTCACGTAAAAGCAAACAACCCCTCCCATCGCTCTACCTCAACTGGACATACACAGAATTCCGGGCAGCTTGATGTAGGATATGAGGCCGGCCAAACAATTACTTACCCATTCTCATTAGCAAGCATTCAGCAGACCTGGGAAACAATCCGGTCTTAGTTACTACAGGGATCCGATCCCCCGTCACCATATCTTCTATATTCCGCCGCATACCTTCCGTAGCCAACACTATCAACGCAATGTCCGGCGTGATACGAAACCAGCCTACCGCTGCCTTCCAGGGTTTCTCCATCTCTCAGCCCTTCCTCGGCGCGTCTTTGCAGTTCTACCCTGAGATGGGTACCCAGGAACTCGACGACCTTGTCAACGCCTACCTCCCCGGCTCTGCCTCCATCCAGGAGAAGCGTGCCACCGTCTCTATGGACTTCTTTGCATTCTCTCAGCTCACTGGAGAGACCTTCAAGTACTATCCCGTTGCCAGCGACTCCAGCAGCTCCGCCGTCTCCTCTGCCGGATCTAGCCCCATGCAGAACTCCAGCAGCAGCTCCAACTTTGTCTCCCCTGTCATTTCTGACTGGTCTTGGTCTCAGTCCACACCCAGCTCAGCCTCTGCTTCTACTCCCACGTCCGTCAGCCAGGAATCCGTGTATTCCAAGTCATCCAGGAGGGCTGCATCTTCTGCGACAAAGCCCCAGGCCAACGACTTCTCCCATCTCCCTGGGATGAAGATCATGACAAAGGATGGTCGCGATGTCACAAACTCTGCTTCTCGCGGTTGCAAGACCAAGGAGCAGCGTGATCATGCGCATCTGATGCGCATCATCAAGGCATGCGACGCCTGCAAGAAGAAGAAGGTCAGATGCGACCCTAGCCACAAGAAGCGCACCACCACACAGGCTCAGGGTATTGCTGCCGCTCCAGCGCGGTCGGCGAAGAAGGCCAAGACGTCGAAGAGGGATTCGCCAGTGGCAGCCGAAAGGTCACCACAACCAAGCACATCATTTTCAACACCAGCATTATTTACAGAGTCCTCATTCGCAGATCTCGACATGCTCAATATGGTAGATTCTTGGGAGTCCCTCGTCCAGTTCGACGACGAGCCCGCCAACGTCGCTCCTTTCGAGTACGACTTCTTCTTCGACCCCGCGGGACATCTCACTCCCGAGTCAAGCCAGTCTCCCATTACTCCCTCGATGGTCTTCAGCCAGTCTCAGAACGGCTTCGATGGCCTTCAAAACGTGGTTGCCAGCAAGCCATTCCCCGACGAGCTCGATGTTCGGCCACCGGCGCTTCCTTACCTGGACTCTTCCCCGCGTATCAGCAACTACGTCGACTTCAGCCTCTACTCACCCGAGCCAAGCTTCTTGGATGACGATGTTGCACTACTCAGTGACATTGGTACTACTACTACCAAGGCCCAGAACACGCTGTCTCAGCGCCGTAGCTCGCCTCAGAGCGGCCAGTCGTCAGTTCAGCAACAAGTGCACCTCGGTCGCTCTCCAACGGCACCAGATGATTACTCGGCAGACGATAGCGGAGTCCCGGTAAGCGGAACTGCACTGGGAGGAACCAGCGCCGTGGTCCGTCGTCACCGGCACCGTCCATCGTCGGTAGCCGTACATGCTGGAGTACCGGGCGCTTCAATGGTGAGCATCCCTTACACGGTACAGTCTGAATTTATTTTGACATTTAAACAGACCGAGTCTGAGTCTCAATTGAGCCTATCCGACGTCAATGCAACAACATCCCGCAGTGTACGCTCACAACGACTTGCGGACACAGCCCTGCAACCAAGCTCGCTACAATTACTACCACTGCCACATGCCACGTCTCGCTCTGCTGTTGATCTTTCCGGAGTACATGCCACCCCACTTGGCGGCGTACTACCAGGAGTAGTCGGCCGTGTGCCAACGTCCTCCGTCATTGCGTCCTCACGCTCCTCGACCGCCGTCGAGGAGGCGTCTTATTACGCGCATATCACGAGGACAAGCAATGATGCCAATGGTCGTAGAGCAATTATTAGCGGAGTGTCCAGCAGCGTCTCTTCGGATGCTCAGCACCACCTTGCCACGTCAGAGTCATCAGAAATTCGTCACATCACCACACCTAGCGCCACCCGTTCCTCTGCTGGCGTCTTTGTACTAGGTGGTGTACAAGTTGTGATGGAGGCGGTCGCGGGAGGTAGCTTGACATGCAAGCGCCGCTCTCTCATTGACTGGCTGTCCAAGTCGCAGTGCCTGGTATACGTGGCACTCTTTGCGACTGCATTCTGCTTGGTTGCGCAAGCGGTCGAGGTACATGCGCTCGCCAGCCGCTTCATTCAACTCGCTGTGGGCCTAGCGATATACAAGGTCTACCACTCTTACTCAAGTCTCTATGACTCGAGACCGGAACAGAGCCATCTTGGGACCGCCACGTCAAAGCCGCAGGGCTTGAGCGACGGCGCGAGGCTTCTCTCTTGTGTCAGCACGAGACTACGACGTACCTGTCGACAGACCCAATCCGCACAAACCCCGGTCAACGGAGCGCGGATGCGGGTTCTGAGCCTCGCGCAAGGTCTCTCATGAGATCTTGTGTCGACCTGCGGCTTGGGCTAATGGCCCTGGCTTGTATGGATATGATAGTTGTCGTAGTGTTTTTGTTGCTGTCTATTGGGAGCGTTGGTTTCTGAGATACCCCTCTGTTTTTTGATGAGACGTGCATTCTTCAAGAGTGGCATGCATGTCAGCTATATCATCGGGCAAGGTTGTGTTCTGTTGCACAGGCTGGAACCAGTATGCTGGACACTGAGTAGTTGTTTATGAACTGCTATATAGTCTAGTTAAATTTGGTGGTAGCGTAGTGCGATATAATATAACTGCCTTGCTCACACTTATTTGTGTCTACTTTCGCCCGGCGTGCACTCATTGTATACGGATACGACTATTCCGAACCTGTAGAAGGGCTCACCAAGGACCTCGGACTTCAGATTCGCCCTTCATCCCAACACGAAGTATCTCAAGTACCCTGGGAGGGATACGTTCAGGTGGTCAGTGCCACCGTTTGACAGCGAGGTCACGTGATGTCGTGTGTTCCCACCTAGTGCAAACTTCATTTATGGCAATAGGGTATATCGGGGCAAAGACCGATTCATCCTTGGCTCCTTAAAAGCTGGGGGTTTACGTGACTAACAATACCTTCTTCCCATAGTGAGTAACAAGCCAGGCAAATGAGTTTATTTGCTTTTATTGTCTCGAGCGACGTGTGCTGACTACAGCCAGACTGAGTCATCCTTGTTTGTCACTCTGCCACTTACTTAAAGTCCTATTCAGAGCAATTCTTAAACAACAAGCGCCCAATATCGCATGTGGTTTCAGTTCAGGTGCTCCTCAAGGCTTTGATCCGCACTTTGTTTCAACAGGACAAGTATTGTAGGACAGCCTTGCCCCGGACTTCTGCAACAGAGTCAGACAAGGGAACATACAGAACCCTTCTGACACTTGAAAACTCGCTTCCCTGCGGTCTTGAAACTTTCCCAGTCAAGTGCCAACAAAAGCCATTGACGACCCGGTTCCTTGTTCGAACAGAAAGAGCAGCGACAAAGAAACCTCTCGCGAGAGACGCAACTTCTTCACAGCGTACCCGAACTTACCTTGCCTCGGGTGTATGTCTACATGATCTAGTAGGCCGGGGGTTCTCCAAACACAAGGGCAGCTTGCAGCATCCTACCTTGGCCAGTATCGGAATACGCTGGACTTTGCGTCGTCCTAGAACCTCTCGATCTCTTGCCTACTTGACAAGACTACCGTAGTCCAGTCCGTTGCTACGGACCTGGTTTAACCCGAGCCACACAGAGCAAATAGCCCCCATTCTCATCTCTTCGGGAAGGCATCGATTGTCTACATCTCTAAATTCGTCAGGTGCTCTCTGCACCTTAACTTAGTGCCAGTCGTACGGCGTGTCTTGAATCCGTGAAGGTTCTGTGGTACCCAGGGTAGAAAGGCGTGCACCGAGTTGGTTCCTTCCCAAAAAATTCACCATGAACGCTCCTGCCTCTTCAGATGCGCCTCCAGGTGGACCTGGGCCTGAGTCTGGGCCTGGAACCGGAACACAGGACAAAGATAGAGGAAAGCGGGCGTCGACAAGCAAGTTCTTGCAAAACATATTTTGTCGCCTCAAAACCTCATTCACCCCCAACTCCAAATCACCATCCTCCTCCTCACCCACCCCAGCCCCCTCGTCCCAGCTACCAGCAACAAATACCGCCCAAGCACAGCCAAACCGGGCAGGGCAGACATCAGTGGAAGAAGATCCAGAGATGGCTGACGCTCTCACTCGACACAGTCAGTCGACTGGACCAGCGCTGCCTCTGTACCCCTCCAGCAAGGCCCCCGTTCCCGCTTCGGGAGATGACAAGGAGAACCAGCCCAGTGCCCCCATGGTCTCCGTACCAGCTGCGGCTCTGAGCCGTATGAGCCTGGAGTCTGTCGGCCGGCCGCGATCATCAGCCTCCATTCCCCAGACCACGCTCACGCCTCTCAGTGAGAGACCTATGCACCAGATGCTCATGGATCAGGCATTGGATATGGTAAGCAGCTAATGCGACCAGCAAGTCCCTTCGTTGCAATGGAACATCCCTAATATTGTATCCAGGCTCGACTAGCATTGCGAACCAACGAGACGCCCGTTGGCTGTGTACTTGTCCAAAACGGATCGGTCATTGCAAGAGGCATGAATGCCACAAACGTGACTCGGAACGGTACCCGCCATGCTGAGTTCATGGCATTGTCTGCACTGCTGTCCTACCGACCAAACAATAGTGAGGAGGCCGTCGAGACTCAGCTTCGCCAACAGGCCAGCGAACGTTCCAAAGTAGATGTTCCTGACGATGAATCGGATCTGTTCCCGGATGACGATGAGTATGTCAGGAAAGGTCATCTCTACCCTTACGGCCAGAAGCTTCATCTTGATCCTCGGGTCGACCGCTCTATCGTCAGGGAGTGCACTCTTTACGTTACAGTAGAGCCCTGTGTCATGTGCGCCGGTCTGCTTAGACAACTTGGCATCAAGAAGGTCTACTTTGGCGCTGTCAATGACAAGTTTGGCGGAACTGGTGGTGTATTCAGCATCCACAAGAACTCTACAGACACCCGCCAAGACCCCAACCCAGTCACTGTTCTCAGGCCGATTCAGATCAATGCATCCAACGTCCCAAGGCCGGCAAGCTCTACGTCTGGAAAGAGTTCCCTCAACAGCAATCGTCCCGCGAGCCGAGGTGGCGATGGCGGAAACGTCGAGCCAGGTTTCGAAGCAGAAGGTGGGTGGGGCCGCGACGAAGCTGTTGGTTTGCTGCGGAGATTCTACGTGCAGGAGAATGGAAGAGGTAAATCGCTGATTCAAGGGGACCATCGAGAAGCTGTAAGCTGACACCTTCTCTAGCACCAGTGCCGCGCAAGAAAGAAGGCCGCGCTGCTAGGTTGGCAGCCATGGAACAAGCTGGAGGCGAGGGCGGAGCGCCTGTGACATCCGAGGCTTTTGACGTCGCTGACGGCGACGACCAAGGTGCCGCTGGCAATGGTGCTTCAACCGTCTCCAATGGCAGTGAAGACAGGAACGAGGTTTGAGTGCACCGCTGAGCATCTTAAAAAAAAAAAAGCCACACGCATTACATACCACGGGAATTGATCATTAGATGGGGTTATCAACACTGATGGGACGATCCACCATTTATCTTAGATTGGTTCTATTGTACTTTCAACGAAAGGCAATTAATAGTAGACGAAGCTGCATCATCATTTGGGTATCCTATCCAATTCCCCAATGTGGTACTTAAATGACTAATATCCCACAAAACTCCTCGAAAACGACTTCTTTTAGCCCGCTTATGACGAGGACCTGTCACCGTGGGGGGTGATGGTCTCACCAATCTCCTTGTCCTTGCCGGTGACGGAGCCGCCCTGCTCGGAGCTAATGGTCTTCTCCAGGGGCTGAGGCTCGGAAGCGGCATGCTGGTGTTCATCAGAGCGCCAGAAGTCCTTCTTTCCCTTGAACGCGCGGCGGACCCAGGGGGGCAGGATGCCGCCAGGAATGCGCCAGGTCCAGGGGTCCTTCTCGTTCTTGTTATACGGAACGATGCGGCCACCGGAGACCTTCTCGATGACCCAGACAAGGCCGTTGATGAGAATGTAACTGCAGACACCACCGATGAGGCCGTCGGCAATAGAGTAGGTGAAGGGCATGAGTGCGAGGGTGATGAAGGCAGGAACGGCATCACCCATGTACCTCCAGTTAATCTCGGTGACGGCGCGAACCATCATGGATCCCACGAGAACCAACACGCAGCCGGTGGCCCACGAGGGGATGGAGGCGAAGATGGGAGCGAAGAAGATGGAGATGAAGAAGCAGATACCGGTGACCATGGCAGTCAGACCGGTCTTGCCTCCCTCGGAAATACCAGCACCGGACTCGACGAAGGCAGTGACGGGGGGAGTACCGAAGAGGGCACCAACGGAGATGCTGAGGGCATCGACCATGTAAGCGACGGATGAGCCCTCGAAATCCTGAGTCTCCTCGTCGATGAGGTTGGCGAAGCGGGCCATGGAGTAGAGGGTACCGGTGCAGTCGAGGATGTCGACGTACAAGAAGGTGATGAGGGCCAGACCGAAAGCACCGCTGTATCCTCCGACATTCCACTCTTGGACGTTGAGGGTCCTCTGGATCGGGTGGAAGTCTACAACCTTCTTGAAGAAGTCAAAGTTGGAGTCACCGATGACGGTATCGGGGAAGTAGGTGACAGAGGTGTTACGGGGCCAGGAGATGATGCTGACGAGGATGATTCCGGCCAGGATGGCGCCCTTGAAGCGGTACATC